GTAATCGCTCCTAAGCAGAGCTGCAGTGCCGCGGCTTAGCGTGAAGCCGAACAAGCATCGCGTCGTCTCTTTCTTGCATTTCAGCAGAAGCAATCTGTCGGCCAGTCTCGTTTTGGTGTATCGACTCCGAGTTAATAGCGGGAAGAAGCATTTACTTTATTATAAGGGAAAATGGATGGGCAGGTTGCAGCTCTTGTGTCTGTGAACACGCTTGATGAACACGATGAGAGCGGGTCAGCACCAGAAATGCTGCGAACGCATGCCGCAGTTTGCAGCGATGGGGAACTTGAAAAGGGCTGCTCGACTGCATGGGGAGGGGGGCCAGACGCGCTCACCATGAAGGAGGCGTGTGGGACATCGACAGCTGCGGATTCGCCGCCAGACACTTCACCAGTTGTTCACGCACATGCAGAGATTCCAGCAACTGGTGCGGGTGAAGGTGCTTGCGAAGGAGAACATGTTCATGCAGATTCAATCGCTTGTAACGACCATTCAGATGGATCACAGCAGCAACAAACGCCCCCATCTGCCATAGCTGCACCGGTCAGCGCTGATAAAGAAGAGGAAGTGGCTGCCGATGCAGTGCCCGCAGCTGCAGCGACGGTGGCGGCTGATGAGCCGGACAAATCAGAGAAGCCAANGCTGCCGATGCAGTGCCCGCAGCTGCAGCGACGGTGGCGGCTGATGAGCCGGACAAATCAGAGAAGCCAATAGAAAGCAGCGCGAACACTCTGCTGAAGAGTAGTGGGCAGGCGGCTTCGACAGCTTGGGAAAGTGCACGGACGCATGCAGCTGCAGCAGCAAAAGCCACCGCATCCAGCGTTGCAGCGACGGATTTCTCTGCCATTAAGGAGGCAACGACGAAGCCGCTGCTGGCGGCAGCCAGCTACATAGGCTTGGGGTCCCTCTTGAGCACGCCTGCTGCAGATACACGAGGAGACGAGCGCTGCAGTGAAGCTGAACGAGGCGCTGCTGCCTCCACACCAGAAAGTTCATGCGAGGCTGACAACTGCAGCATCAAAGGAAGGGGATCCAGCATGGCAGCAGGCTCATCGACAACAGGCAACGGACAGGGATCCGCCAGCTCTGGATGGGCGTTAGGCGGCCTCCGTCTGCCTGCAGTGACGCAGTGGCTTTGCTCTGCCAACGTCGCATGCAGTCAGCCGCTGAGCTGCACGGTGCCTGTNCTGCAGTGACGCAGTGGCTTTGCTCTGCCAACGTCGCATGCAGTCAGCCGCTGAGCTGCACGGTGCCTGTTGCCGATGCAGAGACGGAATTAGAAGGAAGCGAAGCGGAGGCTGCTGCTTCAGAGCACTTAGCAAGCGTTGGGTTGGCCTCTGCCACAGCAACAGCAACAGCAGCAGCTGCTGCTGTTCCTGCTGGCGGTGCTGTTTCTGACAACCTGCAATGTCAGGATTCTGTTGAAGGTGAGGAGCATTGCATTGCGGACGGCGGCACGGATTGCGCACCGTCGACTCCTAGGGCAACGAGGGGAGCCAGGGAACGCCTTTTGGACGGACGTAAGCGAGTGACAGCGGCTGGAACTGTTGTGGGCGACGGGGGCGATGGGTGTAGGACTGCTGTATCACCAGAAGCCCTCTTGGGGTTTGAGCGGGAGCTGGCTAAACTGGAGAAGACTGCAGATGCAGCCATTGCCTGTGAGCATTCTCTGCTGCCCGATATGGGTCGACAGGGAGAGGGTGTGAGTGAGGAAGGCGCGAAGGCAGCAGCAGCGGCAACAACGGAGGGAATGCAACAAGATCAGCGACAGAAACAGAAACTATGGAAGTCGTTGCAGTCCATGTTGGCGACCTCTTCGCGCCGTTCCGTTGATGTGGTTCAACAGACAGCAAGCACAGCTGCTTCGGCGGCTGGGGCGGCCAGTAGGGCTCTAGATGGTTTAGTGATGCCCCTCTTGGGTAGGTGCATGCAGCCCACGACGAACGCGCGAGGCGGCAGTCAGGAGGCAGGTTCAGAAGAAGAAAACGGCCCAGAAAGAGCAGGAAGGAAAGAGGAGGGGCAGGGAGACCTACAGGGTGTTGNTCAGAAGAAGAAAACGGCCCAGAAAGAGCAGGAAGGAAAGAGGAGGGGCAGGGAGACCTACAGGGTGTTGAGGGGGAAGCAGGGGAACAATCACAGGGAGATCAATCAACTACTGGTTCGTCGGAAAGGCGTGGGCTGCTGACAGAGCTGCAGCGGAAGCAGCAGGCCCTTGCAGAGGCGGTGCGTAACCGCAGCACGAACTTCTTGCAGCATTCTGTGGCTTTAACATCTTCTACGTCTCTATCTGAGGCGCGGTATCACTTGGCAGAGATCGTCGATACAGGCGGCCCCGAGGTTGGTCTTCCCCTGCTCTGTCTCAGGAGCTTGTCAGACTCGAACTTCACCTTTTTCACCGTGTTCAATGCAGTCCTTGACTCGATGGCTAAGCATTTGCACTTCCGGAAGATACAATAGAAAAAATGATTCAATAGGAGGCTGGCGTTGATCAGAATGCGATGCCGCTTTGTGTTGTGTTTGCAGGTTAGCGGAGTATGGGCTGGCGTTAAAGTGGGTTTAGGCATAGCTACCTTGGCCTCGGGTCACTTAATTTTGGGGGGCGCGATGGTAGCAGTGGCTACGAGTTCTCTAGGGAGTGCTCTGCTGTGGGGCCGGCATCGACAGGAAGTGTATGAGATAATGCGCGGCGATTACACAGGAGATGCTGAAGCGTCTCAGGCGACATCTGAAGGTTCGAGCAGTGCCGAGGGAAATACGGAAGAAGGGTCTGGGGGGTCGGGGATGCTCAGCGGCACCGCCGGTGGGGGCACAGACAGCTGCACAGAGACACAAACTCCTCCCCAGTCTTCGATAGCTCCCCAGTCGTGTGATGCTGAAGAGAAGAGAGAAGAGAAGAGAGATGAAACGGACTGCAACAACGCAACCATCGATGCGCTAACAGGGCCTGGGGATGACAGCGGGGATGCGCAGGCCTCAACGTAACGGATTCTTGGGGGCCCCATCGCCGGCACATTGGCTTGAGGCAAAAGCGCGGCGGGGCTGAAATAATACAGTACGTTTTCTTTGCAGCAACAAAATAGCAGTTTACAGAAACAAGAGAATGGGGACTGGCAAGCGGGTCGTTGCAGGGAGCTGCGACCATCAGGATACTCGTGACGCCTGTGGTGGGGAGGAGCGAAGCACGAGATGATACTGCGCGTTGAAAACAAAGGCAACTGAGGTGTGACCTGGTGCAGACATGGCGTACTACAGAAATTTTGCTTAGATTATGATGCGTGCAGCTTAAGAACAATAGCAACAGAACCGCCGGAAAAAAAACGAATGTGTGTTTACGCTGAACTGTATATCCTGTAGTACAGTTGTTGGCTTGCTTATTCTAGAACCTTAACCTTGACGGAATTCTGTTTCGTGGCTTTCCTAGTATATGCAACTACTAGGTGAAGCTTCAGCGTCAAACGAACTTGCATTCACTACAGAGGCATCGGGCCTGGTTGGGGCCGCGTTGTAAAACTCCAATGAAATATCTTTTTTAGAATATGTGACGTCTAACATGTGACGGCATCGACGTCGG